TGGGAATATGCATATTAGGGCAGATAGAAAAAATTGTTAGATTATCACTCCCATCCGCATCAAAAATTTAGAAAATATTGATGTGGGAATAAAAAAAAAAAATTTGTAGCATCATTTATTTCAACATCATAAAGAAAACAATGCAATTTTGTGACTGAAAATACATTTTCTATAAATAACAATAAAATTAAACCAGTTTTTTATACAATATTTACAATATTCTTGCTAAATAAAAACAGTCCCCCCCCCCTCATCGATAAAAAAAAACCAATATTCTATTGTTCCGATTTATAAAAAAAAACGCCTGCCCTCATCACTTAAAAAAAAAAAAAAATAGAGTGAAATCTTATAATTGTTTTCTATGTGCCCTAAAGGCTGTAAATGCATTAACCAGTGAGATGTTGTATATTCTCCTACATAAATAGATAAATATATTAATTTTTAACTCATGTTTTAGGTACTGGAAGTGGTTCCCTGTCTCATGCTCTGGCTCGAGCAGTGGCTCCCTCTGGCCACCTCCACACATTTGAGTTCCATGAGCAGAGAGCAGCAACTGCAGGAAAAGAATTTGTGGACCATGGACTCTCAGAATTGGTAACAATTCAATGCAAAGATGCCATTAATGTAAGTTTAATGATAGCGATTGCACCATACAGTATTCCATTTGAGTTCTTTTAACCCAAATGTCACTCCAAGGTGCAGAACTCGGTACAGAATCACATTTTCAGTTTGGTTTTTCATTTCAAAATCCATATCATCTGTAGTCAGTGGTGGTAGCGGGTGCAGGTCAACTCGGCCACAAGTCAACTCGGCCACAGTCAACTCGGCCACAAGTCAACTCGGCCACAAGTTGGCTTGTGGCCGAGTTGACTGTAGCCAAACTTTTTGTGGCCGAGTTGACTTGTGGCCGAGTTGACTGTGGCCGAGTTGACTTGTGGCCGAGTTGGATCAAATTCGTGGTAGCCACTATGTGTGCGCTGAACTGTGGAGATCTCTAGGTCTCCGGTTCAATTCCCATTGCTGCCTCTCCTTGTGTTTCAGCTAGAGGGCTGAAATACAAGTTACAAGAGCGCACCGTCTTTCGGATGAGACGTTTAAGCCGTTGGTCCCGTTTTGAATTATGGCTCATGTGCACGTTAAAGAACGCAGTACACTCTTCGAAAAAGAGTAGGGGATTGTCTCCCGGTGTACTGCTCAATCACCACCAGAAGGACCCCACTGGAAATAACTCTTCTTCTAGACTTTCGTGGGCTATCCTTGGTGTGTTACACCGAATAAATCCACTCCACTCCATAGGGTAGAAGCATCATTCATATTAATGCAAACGCCATCGGAATTGTACAAGCATTGCTGTACCCGCTGCTACTTGGGTATCGGATTTATCACTAGCCAATAAGCACAATCTCTGTGGTCTGGTCTAGTGGTTAAGGAGATACTGTACCAGGCTCTAGTTACCTTGAGTTCGATTCCCACCCAAATCACTTGAGAGATTTTTTTTGCAATTACAATCTTTGGGAATGAACTGAACATTTAATACGATAACACGTCAGGTAGGGCAAAAACATATTCATATTATTTTTCCAGATGCAAACACCATTGGAATATGTAATCAGTATTGCAATTATTTTGTTTTTATCCTCCATGTATTGCATTTGAGGTTCAAATAAATATGATTTTCCCTATTGTCTGGTATAATTTTTGCTATAAATGATGTGTTTTGCCAAGAGAAGAGTTTATCCACATATCAAATAGCTATCAACTGTAATGCCCTCTGGAACTTGAAATGATCAATTAGTGTGTGTATTTAAATGAACTTTTATTAAGTACATGTAAAATCCATTTTTTTGTTCAGTTTTAACTTTTATTTCATCAGGGAAACAATGAGCTAGGTAATTGAGTTGAATTGTGGGAAAGCTCATGTGAACAGAATGATCACAAAGCTTACTTAATGGTATTCCTTTCAGGATGGATTTGGGATGGTGGATGCTGCTGACGCTGTGTTCCTAGACCTTCCGTCTCCTTGGTCTGCAATATGCCATGCCAAAGCTGCATTGAAAGCTGGAGGTACAGTGCAGCATCACTTTTTAACTACGATCTTTTTTGCAAAAAAATTATGTTCATATTCCATACTTACTTATTTCAGGCTTTGTGCACCAAGTGTCGGATGTAGCCTTCATCCTAATCTTTCCTTTTTTTAGTTTTTTTTTCACGTGTTCCAAACAAGTATATACAGTATGTACAAACATAATTTCTGTAAATATTATCAAGTCACATATATCATCAAAATGCTGTGTCTAATAAATTGGCAGGAAAGTATTAGGGGATGAGTAAACGCGTCACTTGTAATGGGACTGTGTTTTTTATTGCCTCTACCAAGTGCCAGCTTTCTCGTCTACGTATTTTTTGCATGGGTTGCTACATGTTCAGAGGGCACCCCCCCCCCCACTCATGCAATTTTTTGTACTACCAGCAACTTAACACAACAAACATACTTACATTAGTTGTACGTTATCGTCTAGGTGTGTCTTCCCTGAACTATCAGGCGTTAAGTCTGTGGTTCTACAATGTATAACAATGAAGTAATAAATGCTAGAATGTTACCCCGGTTTTGATGAGTATAATCATCCCTAGCGCCTCAGCAACACCCTGTGAAATGAGTATACTCGTCACCGACTGGGAACGTGTAAAGTTAAAGTGTATCAGCTACCCCTCCGAGCCACCCTCTCATGCCACCTCCTCAAATCACCCCTCTCAAACCACCCCGTCAAGTCACCCTTCATCAAGCTACCCTTCCTCAAGTTACCTCTTCATCAAGCCACCCCTTTCTCCAGTCACCCCTTCCATAGTATTGTACAATGAATGATTACAAGTTATTTGATTATGGCTTCATTGCTCCAATTGGTTTTCATCAACAGGTGGACGAATTTGTTCATTTTCTCCCTGCATTGAGCAAGTACAGAAGACGTGTTTAGAATTGACAGCACAGGGATTTGAAGAAGTTTCGACGTTGGAATGTATCCTCAGAACCTATGATGTACGCACAATAAGCTTGCCTGTACCAAAACTAGGATTTGAATCACCGACAGGGACACAAGCAGAAAAATCAAATACAAAAACAGATAAGGATGAGCAAGTGATTGGTAATGATGATAATGATGATAGTTCAAAGGTTAAAGAAGAAGTAACTGATACTAATGGCAGCAAAGGAAAAGGAAGAAAACGAGAAAGGCTTGATTATAATCCTAAGGAGAAGGGTCCTAAAGGGCAGAGCAATTGTGTGGTGATGAAGTGCACAACACAACCCAAGGAAATGCCGGGGCATACCGGCTACCTAACCTTCGCCACACTTTTCAAAAAATGATCCTCTATTTGGTGTGTGGGGGAGAAGAGAGTTATGCCTTACTCAAGATCAATTATTTTATAAGATGAGAGTGCAAAGAAGAAAGTAAAGGTATTGGAAGGTCTTTGTGGGCATAACTACAACAGGACTTCTAATTTTGTTCACTGTGAAGGTTAACCTTATCTTATTGTTTACTTGGACATGTCACTAAACCTTGTTTATTTCCCCTTATAATTGACCTCCTATTATTATTATTTAAAGCCTTGGTGATGAATGGAGCGGCTTAGCTGGCAAAAAAATATCTGAAGTGATTTCTAGCTACTAGCTTTGTTAAGCCTGGAGGAAAGTGTTACGTTATTTCACTAGCAAGTTTCTAGTGGTGGATGCTGAATAGTTTTTTGCCTTGTGCTAATAATAAAAATAATAATTATCTAAAAGTAAGATCTTAGATGTGCTTTTTTATATGGTTTTCAATGCTAAAATGAAATAAAACCCTTTTTAATGATATTCTGAGCATTGTTATTTTCTTTTATTGATATTTATTAACTTTTGATTACACTTATACATTATATTTTATTGTTAAATAATATTTATCATCGCAATTAATATTTAAAAGTATCTCTCTCTTAAATCACATGCCACACCACAACCAATTACAGGATGAAGGGCAGGATGATTGCATTTCACAAGGCATTGAAATGTTATGATCGTATGTAGGCCTAATGCACTTCAATTATAATTTTCAAGAGTGATTGCCGAAAGCAGAGTTCAGGACCAGTTGCCAGGTGGTTGCACTTGCCCGGGTATGCCCATAGTTACTTGCGATTGGCAAGTAACTTGTACATACCCACTGACGTTATCGTGTGAAGAGCATGCGTAGGTCATCAGTGGCAGTGACCCCAATTCGTCAAAAAATGCTGTATCTTGATTGGTTGGTGTGTCTGATGGTTGAGTTTGGTTGCAATACTCGCTCTGATCAAGGTTGTGAATGATTTCCATTGCGTGGCTGTACGGTATGCGAAACTTATCGACATCACGTTTCAATAGGTCGCATACCAACAATTTAGCTGCACTTTTCAGCGCCTCAAATGGTTTATACATCATCAACTTGGTCTGTTGTGTTAAGGGATTACTCTGACATACACGCTCATCTGTCGCCTTTAAGGGTGTTTCACACTCGTTAAAATTAGGCATTTCATCGTAATGTGAATCAATGTTAGACACGTTCGGTTCCATGACATCTACATATTGTATTTATATTGGTTATATTTTATATGTGGTTCTCAAATGGGGCTAGTGGTTGTGAAGGCATTGATTCCTCGTCGTCCACTTGTGAAAACCAGTATCTCGTTAGAATGTTGTTACTAGCCACCTCATTGATATAGAATTCGATTTCAGATTGCCTGTACATGGAGAATTATAGTGTAAACAGCCGTATTTTAAACAGTACAAGTAATTTATACCAATAATTTTTCTTGATATTTAATTAATGTGTACGAGAAGGTTACTGAAGGGGAAAATTATGATTATATATTCCAGATTCGTTCATTTTGCGGATGAACGAATGAAGTTTGATATATATAATCAACAATGACTTGTATAATTGTGAACACATAGTTGTGCACTCTGTGTACACTCTGTGTGGTACTAAAACACATGGTGTAAACCATGTGGGCACTATGTGGGAACACTGTGATTTCACTATGTGTTTTGACTATATGGTTGTGCACTATGTGGACACTGTGTTTTCACTATGTGTTGACTCTATTGACTATGTGTTATTCGTGATGTTTGGACTGTGTGGAACACAGAGTGATACAGTGTCATAACACACAGTGACCACACTATTGCCACAGAGTAATCAAACTGTCAACATGGAGTGATCACACTTTCAGCAAAGAGTGATCACACTGTTAACACAGAGTGATCACACCGTCAGCACAGAGTGATCACACTGTCAGCAGAGAGTAATGATATTGTAAACACAAAGTGAACACATAGCATACTGTTAACACAGATTTATCACGCCGTCATCACAGAGTGGTTACACTGTCAGCACAGCGTGATCACACTGTCAGCACAGAATGATCACACTGTCAGCACAGAGTGATCGCACTGTCAGCACAGAATGATCACACTGTCAACACAGAGTGATCACACTGTCAGCACAGAATGATCACACTGTCAACACAAGGTCGTCACCCTGTCAGCACACATTAAGTCACACTCTCAGCACAGGGTGATCACACTGTCAGCACAGGGTAATCAAACTGTCAACACAGAGTGATCACACTGTCAACACAAGGTCGTCACCCTGTCAGCACACATTAAGTCACACTGTCAGTACAGGGTGTTCACACTGTCAGCACAGAGTGATCAAACTGTCGATCAGCACAGAATGATCACACTGTCAACACAGAGTGTTGACACTGTCAACACAAGGTCGTCACCTTGTCAGCACACATTAAGTCACACTGTCAGCACAGGGTGTTCACATTGTCAACACAGAGTGATCGCACTGTCAACACAGGGTAATCAAACTGTCAACACAGAGTGATCACACTGTCAGCACAGAGTGATCACACTGTCAACACAGAGTGATCACAGAAATAGATACATTGAAGAGACTTGGCGTGATCGAGACAAGTACCTCCCCATATGCTGCTCCAATTGTGTTAGTCCGTAAGAAAGACGGAACAAACCGTTTTCTGTATAGACTTTAAAACAACAAAGTAACTGTGTTTGACCCCAAACCAGGGACGTATCCAGGGGGGAGCCGTGGGAGCCGCGGCTCCCCACCCCCCTTTGTACAAATCCTTTGTTAAATCACGTTTTTGAAGTAGGCCTATGTAAAGAACATACTCAAAGACAATGTTTTTAAGCTTTGTATACACACATTAATAAGATCTCTATGGTTGTCAAAAATCCCTGATAAAAGATCAGGAGAATTTCTTTTGGCATTCATTTTGACTAATGGTGATGTGATGATGATGAATTTTACTAAAAGTGTCATTTCTGGCCATCTAGAGGTACTATTTCCTCAAATTTTCTCACCTCAGCTCCAACCATTTTGGGGCTGGGGTGGGTG